TCCCAGGCTTTTGGAATCCCTGTGTTTCTTCAGGTGGGTCCTGAGGCCAGTGGCCAGGAGAATGAGAGAGAGGAAGAGGAGGAAGCTGGAGCCACAGCAGCAGCAGAGGCGGTGGAAAAAGAGGAGGAAGAGGAGGAGGAGAATGAGAATGAGGACCTGTACTATGAAGGGGCCATACCAGAAGTGTCTGTGCTTGTCCTGTCTCCGAGCTGCTGGCCCATCTCCTCTATCAACCACATACTGAACCCTAAGACCTGCCTGCCCTCCTACCTGAGGGGCACTTTGAACCGATACTCCAACTTCTACAACAAGAGTGAGGAGCAGGCGGGTGGAGGGGGTTGGGAAAGGACCTGGGGTCCCTAGAGTGAGAGCCCTGATGTGGAAAGAGATGGTCTTTAGGGATAAAAATCTCTCAGGCGATGGGGAAAAGTGAGTGGATTTGAGAAGAGAGGGCCCGGGCATGGTTTTCAGGGGTGGAGTGTGGAGGCTATCAGGCACCAGATTCCCAGATGGTTGCCTGTCTGTAAAATAAGACCCAGGAACCTGTTTACAGGTGGTGGGGAGGAGGGAGGCAGGGCATCTGAGGCCACCAGAAAGGACTTTTTCCTCTGTAGCAGGCATCTGCCTCCTGGTCAGTCACCTGTTACCCTAAGTTTCCCATTGAGCAGCAACAAAGGAAAGGAAGAAACTCATACCCTGCCCTCAGTGAGCTCTCAGATTTATAGGGAGACATCATTTCTCCTCTGGGATACTCTAGTCTGATGAGAACCCCAGTTATTCCTCATTTTGTGGTTTTGTCTCTTAAAATATGGGGGAATTTATAAAAGAATATGGGGAATTTCTTGAAGGCACTGATCAGAGCCTGTCCAGCACAGGCATAGACACAGGGTGGCCTCACAGATACCTGTGGCTTGCCAGGTAGGCAGGCACAGAGAAGGCTGAGATCCTGAAGCTGAGACCAGGAACCACAGTGTCCATCATTGCTGGGGCCCTGCTTCCTGCAGACACTAGTGGAAGCAGAGCTTGACCACTGCTGTGTCCTCATCCCAGCTCCTAACCAGCCTTTTCCCTACTTTCTGCCTCCCCCTTCTACATGATACTTCCCAGGCCAGAGCCACCCTGGCCTGGAGACAGGCCCGCAAAGACGGCTGCAGTGGACATGGCTGGGCCGGGCTGAGCTGCAGTTTGGGGACCAGATCCTGCATGTGTCCACCGTGCAGATGTGGCTGCTGCTGTACCTCAACGATCTGAAGGTGGCCCAGCCCCTCTGCACCTCCGCTCTCTCCCACCTTGCCCCTCACCTTTCTTCCTTAAACCTTGCCTCTCTTTCCTCCTTCCCTTCACCCTCTCCTTTCCACCCTTGGGGAGGCCCTGAACGTTTTCCTTGTCTTCTCCTAAGGCCATCTCTGTGGACAAGCTGCTAGAGCTCTCCGGGCTCTCTCCAGACATGCTGAATCCAGCGATCGGGCCTCTCACCTCTTCAAGAGGCCCCTTGGACCTACAGGAGCAAAAAGATGCACCAAGAGGTATGCAGTTAGGGCCAGAGAAGCCTCTGCTGAGCCGGCTCGGCCTCCCACCCGGAGTGACCAGCGCTTCTTTCAGGGGTGCTCAAGATTCGTGATGACAGCGAGGAGCCCAGACCAAGGAGGGGCAATGTGTGGCTTATCCCACCCAAGATGTACCTGAAAGCAGAAGATGAAGAGGGCCAGAACTTGGAGAAGAGACGGAACCTTCTGAACTGCCTCATTGTCCGAATCCTCAAGGCCCATGGGGATGAGGGGCTGAATATTGACCAGCTTGTCTGCCTGGTAGGCGGGGGTGGGCACAGTGTATAAGGGGGCTTTGGGAAAGGACAGGCCACAGGAGGGTCGACGTTTGAAGCCACTGATTCACTATGGAGCCTGCAGGTGTGTAACAAGGGAGGTGGGGTGCATCTGATGTCCATAGGACTTCCTGCCCTGGCAGCTTGTGGTGGAGTGGGAACTAGAGAGGAGGTAAGCTGGGTGTCTCTGACCTGCCATTTCCCCTTTTCCTCCCCATGCCAGGTGCTGGAGGCTTGGCAGAAAGGCCCGTGTCCTCCCCGGGATTTGGTCAACAGCCTGGGCCAGGGGTCTGCCTGCAGCAGTACAGACGTCCTCTCCTGCATCCTGCATCTCCTGGGCAAGGGCACAGTGAGACGCCACGACGACCGGCCCCAGGTGCTGTCTTACGCTGTCCCCGTGACGGTGATGGAGCCTCACACTGAGTCCCTGAACCCAGGCTCCTCAGGCCCCAACCCACCCCTCACTTTCCACACCCTGCAGATTCGTTCTCGGGGGGTGCCCTATGCCTCTTGCACCACCACCCAGACCTTCTCTACCTTCCGGTAGCCCTGGAGATGTGGTCAGGGGCTTTCTACAGAAATAAAATGCAGGAGTTTGAATATATGGCCTGTATGTTTGATGACTGCCAGTGATCCAGTAAGTGGCTGGGGGAGGGGGGGTGGTTCCTGGATGAAAGGAGAGAGCTCTTGCTCTAAGGCTGTCTCTTGACATCCTGGAGTCACTCTGTTAGTGTTAGGATGGTCAGTGGGGAGAGAGATGAAGGGAGTCAGATATGACTTAGCAACCCTGTCACTAGGCAGGTGGTCTTTTGGCAGGGGGATTGAGTGGTCAGGGATAGATGCCAGCCCTTTCTCAGAGGATGTGCCATCAGACGTGCTTTTACCTGGCAGGCTCTGCACCCACCTCCGCCTTTCACTGGGCAGCTTGTGATTTGGGCACATTACCAAGCTGGGCTTCATTTTCCTCATTTGTAGAATTGGACTAGAGTCACTGTGGAACATTGATGAGTAACAGGAGTGGAAGCATTTGAAAGGGTGAAGGCTTTGCTAATATGAGCCCCTACTCTGACCCCTACCACTCCCAGAAGTGAGTGCAGGGCACTGGCACCTTCTCTGAGTAACCTGACACAGGGAAGGAGAGACGGAAGTCAGTCACCGAAGGACAAATACCGTACCATCCCACTTATATGAAATATCTAGAATAGGCAAATGCATAGACACCAACGTTTATTAGTGGTTACCTGGGCGGGAGGGAGGGGGGAAGGGGGAACTCATTGTTCAGGAAGCATTGAGTTTCTGTTTATGACGATGGAAAATTTGGCAATGAATACAGGTGATGGCTGCACATTGTGATTAATCAATGTCACTAAATTATACATCTAAAAAATGTTGAATTAGCGTATGTTAGGTTATATGTATTTTTACCACTATTTAAAAAAAAAAAAGACCTTGCAGCCACTGCAAGTACATATAAGCCAAGTGTGTACTCTTGCCATGCAGTGTAGGATCTGGTTGGAAGCACACCTAGAAGGAACTGCTGCTCTGTTGTTTCTTCCTCCCACAAGCTCCTCCACATTGCCTTTCTTCCACTCCTCTGCCTCACACCTTGTCCGGTTATCAGAGCTGCACGCACACATGGGGGAGACATGTACTGCTCTGGGGAAGGTTTGCTCCGAGCTGCTATGACCGGCTCCCCTGGCCCTGCCTACACTGGGGCAGGGTTGGGCAGGCTAGGGGACCCAGTAGCTTGTTGCAACTCTGGAGCTCCGTGTCTTGGCCAGGGCCATTAGGGGAGGGAAGAAGGGGTGACCCAGGCTTCCCAAGTCCCCAGTTCTTGCAGCCTAGAGCGGTAGCCTGGAGAAGGCTGCAGAAGAAGGGGAAAGGAATGAGCAAGAGTCAGGTGGTGAGGGAGGGCAGAAGCCAAAAGGAGATGGGGTACCAGCTAGGACTTCAGGATTGAGATTTGGAATGATCTTTAAAAGAGAAGCCAGGGCCTGGGAAAGTCAAGGTGCCCAGGACAAGGCAACAAGGCAAAGGGCAAAGGCGGCCAGGCCTGGGGGCAGAGGGCCAGTGCCTGCTTTGCAGTGTGGTGCCCCACATGCTGTTGGTGGCTCTCACAGCATGCACCTCTTGTTGGCCCCAGGGCACACTGGGGTTGCTGGTTTGTCAGCTGGGTGCCTCTCCACCTTTGTGCCAGAAATCATGGCTTATATCTTTTATTGCCCCATGCTGTGATCTTATTGAGTTAGCTCTCAGGTGCTAGAGCTTTTTGATAGTCTCTGGCCTCTCATGCTCTTTATGAGCCTATCCTTCCCACCAGACACCCAGAGAAGACCCCTGGCGGGGGTGTCTAGCAGCCAGGCCAGCCTGCACTGCCTATAGGAGCAGAGGATGGGACTCTCCACTGCCACCTGCTATGCTGCTACTGACCCACAGACCTCTGCATGGGCTGAGCGGCAGGCCATCTGTCTTGAACTCACTGTACTCGCCCAACCCATTATTCATCCTGCTCTATCACCCTGGCACTCAGCTTCCCCACCCCCTCCCAGGTACTCCTTGCTCCTCTGCAATGATGACTCTCCAGCAATTCTTTAGGGAAGAGCACCCCAGCTTCGACCCTGACAGCCTGCACGTTCCTGTCTATAGGACCACTCCCAGGTGTCGCCTGCCCTCTGGCACAGTCTCACCCCACCTCAAGACTGGCCTTGATTTGCCCAAATCCAGAAGAGCAGTTCTGACTTCAGGCCCAGCCCACCCTCTCTCAGCAGTGCCTGAGCCATTCTCTGCCCTAAAGAACTTTCCATCCCTGGAGGGCAGACACTTGGCTTCACTTCTAAAACGACTCAGGGGACGGAAGTTTGCTACCCTGACCCCTTTGTGAGGCCATCCTCACAGCCTCAACTCCTTATGTCCCTACAGCTGGTTTGGAAACTTGGCTTGTTGACACTAGTCAAAATAAAAGCACACAAACCCCCCACCCCACCAACACATTGACCCTATTTACATAGTAGAATCAAAACACAAATATACCAAGAGAAAGATTACTGGTTGCCTATGGCTCAGAAGAAGGTTTGAGAGGGAATAAGGGATGACTGCTAATAAGTACAGGATTTTCTGGGGTGATGAAAGTGTTCCAAAACTGTGGTGATGGCCGCACAAGTCAGTATACTGAAAACCATTTATGTTTTAAATGGGTGAATTTTATGGTATCTGAATTATATTTCAATAAAGCTGCTACCAAAAAGAAAAAAGCCCAGAAGCCCAGAGCTTTCCAATGTTCACTGTGGGTCCTGGTTGAGGGGAGAAGTAGCAGTCTGAAGGTATGTATGTGGAGGTCAACTCTGTCTTGTAGCAGACATAGATCATGACTGCATCATCAGCCTGAGGGATTTCCAGATCACATTGGTAATATGAATTCTGTTCCCAAACAGTATGAGGGCCAGCTGTGGGTACATACTATTAGAAAATCTTTTTGTCCCCACCTTCTATCTCCCCTTGAATCCAAAATCAAAGCTAAGTGGGTGAGTTTCCCTTTGTGGAACTGGTTCATCCTTTAAATAATGGTGTCATCTTTTGGGGGTCAACGTTTAAGTAGGAGGATCTCTGATGTGACTTCCCACTTTGTAGAAGCCACAGGCTTTGTTGCCTACCCCATACACATGGCCCACGAAAACAGTAACTCTAAGCCACCCACAAATCCCACAGAAAAGCAGAATAAAAAGATGAGTAATAAGAATGTTAAGAATGTTTATAAAGTGACTCCTGCATAAAGGCCCAGCCCTGGGAGCCATCAACAGACTGTGTGGCCTTCACTGGTCTTTTCTTCTGTACCAGAGGCATCAGTTTAAGGCAAAGGTGGGAGAAGGATCCGAAGATATGATGATCTAGATCTGAGCAGAGGCCTGAGCTGCACTTCCTGCCCAGCCCTAAGGGCAGTTCAAGAACCCTCTAGTCTTCTATAAGCCAACTAGTTCAAGGGCAGCTGTGATCCTGCCCTTGGCCAAGAGAACAGGCCAAGCCCAAGGTTGTCCCCACAGATCCATGTCTCACTGGGGCAGTGGCAGAGCTGAAGACAGTTGCTTATTACTCTCTGCTCAAGGGGAGATGTCTCCTGTCCTTGCCTGCATTTCGGCGTCTCTTTCGACTTAAGAAGCTCTCCAGCTTCTTGCTGCGTTTCAGCTCCTTGAACTTCTCAGCTAGGGCCAACTGATGCTGCTCAGCTAGAGGACAGTAAGAAAGCAAGCTGGTGAACAAAGGAGGAAGCTCCCCTCTTTCCCTTTCCCCAGGTCAGTAACTTCCAACCACAATGCTGGGAAACGTGGAAACAAGTACTTTTTCAGTGATTCCAGTCTTACTCAATTCAACCAACTATGAACTCTTATCTGCCAGGCCCAACACATTTGAGGGGTGGTACAGAAACAAAAGCAACAATCCCCTGCCCATAACTTAATTAGGCATGCAAAACTGGTTACAAATAACTCCTCTCTACTATTTCTACTTTCTACCAAGTTACCATGAGATCTAGCCTGCATGCTTCCTTAGGGAGTTCACTGGAACCGCAACACACCGTTATGCACTATGGCCACTGCTCCTACCCCTGTAACCAGCCTGTGATGGTATGCCCCACTCACATTTCTTCAGGAAGTACGGCCGATGGCCCTGCTGGGCCTGAGCCCTCCGCTCCCGCTTCAGGGCCAGGCGTAACTCCTGCTGCTGCTTTCGATCCTGCTGTGCCATTTCTTGCTGCTCCTGGGAAGGAAAGGTGACATGAGATGGATGGATAGGAGGGACTATGAATCATCTCTTGAAAAGGTCTCACCACCGACCGGCAATTATTAAGCACTCACTATTCGCTGAAGCAGCAGCTGCAGTTTCTCACGCTCCTCCCCTGAACGGTGCTTCTTCAATTGTTTTTTCACAATCTCAACATCAGAAAATGAATATGATGATAATTATCATTCTGTCAATGGTGACTGAAATTTTGTGCCAAGCTTCATTCTAAGAGGTTCATGTGTATTAACTCAATAACACTACGAGATAGGATTATTCCTTTTTGTGATTAGAAAACTGAAGTGCAGAGAGATTAAGCAACTTGCCAATGACCACACAGCTAGTAAGTTGATGAGTCAAGACTTGAACATAAGAACCAAATTAGAGAGTTAAATCTGCCCAGGTAACTGTTACCTGCTCTCCTCTGCCCAACTCTCTAGCCTGTGCTGTAGTTTCCCACCCCCAAAAAACCCCATGACTCAATCTCATGGTGCACACCTCTTTCTCTTTGGCCCGGATATCATTCAGGAATTGATATGTTTTGTCAAACACCTCAGGATTATATTCCCCTGAAAGATCATCAAAGCGGGGGTCCCGGGTCACCTTTGGAGAGAACAGACGAAATATGAAACAGAATTGTTCAGTTTTCTTTCACTGAGAAACTGCTCCCTGTCTTTTCCTCACCTTCTTACTGACGGGGACAACCTGACGCAAAAATGGCACCCGGGCCTTCGCCGACATTTCCAGAGGCCTACAGAGAAATTAGAAGACAGGTCAAGGAGACTCCAGTCTTGGTCAAAGGCCTCCTACCTGCCACCCAAGAAAGCAGACACCTGCTCAGGGTGCCAGATATCCTCCAATTCCTGGCGCAGGCCTTGCTCCTCACTTGTGCTTATCCGCAACACATGCATTTTTGACAGATGGTCTAGAATCTTGCTTCCTAATGCTGGTTCCAGCTATCAATTGTTTGTACTTCTTCGTCCCCACTTGGCTCTGCAATGCCAACAGCTCCTCAAATGACATGTTGGATGTGCCTGTGGAAGAAGGAGGGGTTGGGAGAGATACACAGCTCAACATCTTCCATGGCTGCAGACATTATTCCATCCCCATTCCTCAGGTAACTGATCCCTTCCAATAAGCTCATCAGACCAATCATTTAAGTCCCAGGTGGCACAGGTTGTAATGGTGCTACACTGACACCTAACTCAACTGTTGCAGCTACCTGGGGCCTCATTTGCTAAGGAAGGTCTATGTGTAAGGCTGGAGATAAACCAAGTCATAATCCTGTCTTCTTCATCTTCGCTTTTAAATCACTTCCTCACTCCAGTTATCACTGCCAATGTCCTGATTCATACTCTCAGCATCTGTCACCTCCATCAGTGTTCTCCTACCTGGTCTCCCACCCTTATCTCACCCTCCTCATCAGCCTAAGAGAAGCATCTAAAATGCAAATACTGCTTATCACCCCCACGCTACCACACACTATACTGGAGATCATGTCACTCCTGAACTCAAAACTCCCCAATAGCTTCCATCTTACTCAGAGTAAAAGCCATAGGCCTTACGATCGCCTGAAAGCCTCCGTGTGACCTGGTCCCCTGTAACATCTCTCATCTTATCTCCTACTAATGTCCTCCTTCTCAATCCTCTCCACTCAACTGGCCTCCTAGCAGTTCCTGAGCGGGAAGTCATGCTCCTGCCTCAGTTCCTTTGCACCTGATGTTCCCTCTGCTTGAAACACTCCCCCCAGATACACGCACTGTTTACTCACTAACCTCCTTCAAGCCTGTGCTCAAATGCCACCTTCTCAGTTAGGCCTTTCCTGAATACCCTATTTAAAATTTCAATCTCTCCCCTGCTCTATGTCTCTTCATAGCCTTATTGCCTTTTCAAATTAAGATACAATCCACACCTCATAAAATTCACCCTTTTAAAGTGTACAGTTCAGTGCTTTATCACCTTTTAATATAACAACCAACTTATCTGCTGTTTTATTTATTTTGACAGCCCTTTCTAAAAAGTAAGCTCCAAAGGGCAGGAGTTTTTGACTGCTTTATTTATTACTTTATCTCCAAGCACCTGGGGCAACGGCTAGAAATGTTCCTGCATATAGCAAAGGCTCAATAATGTGATCCACTCACCTTCCTCAGCAACCCGTGCCTTTTTGTTTTGTTCTTTGCACACGCGTTTTCTCCTTGCCGAAAACCCTTATCTGGCGTTTAAAAAGCTGCTCAGGATGTCCTATTAAAAGGAAGCAGCCGCTCTGGCTTACTCCCCACTTTCCATTGCCTTGGGGGCGCTCCCAATGTTTGCCTCTTTCAGAGAATTTAGCAGTCTTACCGGAACTTGTCCGTTTGCAGGCTCGAAACCCCCACTAGACCGTGAACCCCCACAAGCAGGGCCGGCGCCCGCCACCCATCGCCCTTTTCCCTTCCCCGCGCGCCCGCCCCTTGTCCCCGGCTCTCCGGCCCTCACCCTTCCGCAGGTCGCGGATCGCAGCCCCAGGCTCCAGGCCCCCGCTGTCCTCCCCGCCGCACCGGGCCCCGCGGGGAGCCTGGGCTGCAGCCCTCCCTCGTGGGCTCACTTTCGGCATCAGCTCCGTACCACTCGGGAAACGAATAGCGCTACTTCCGCTCATGGGGACCAAGACCCGCCTCTTCCGGCGTCTCCAGGGGGCCGAGCTTTAAACTTGTTTACGACGAACCGAAGGCGAGGAGGAAGGGGACACCCGAGAGCGAGGCTGAGAGAGGCTGGGTAGGGCCGGAGGGATGCCCTAGGCCAAACAGAGAGCCGACTCCAGGGATAACGCTGCAGTCTTTTTACGAGTCACGGGGCTCGCAGGGTTGTGGACTCTGAGCCCAAGAGCTAGGCCTGGCCTTGGTGACGTGGTTTCCTAATGTCTTGGCTGAGAAGCCAGAACTTAAGGGGTGCCCCTTCTCAGCGCCCTGCTCCCACTGCAAACTCCTGACATTCCCATCGTACTCCACAAAAACAGATCACACATTTTGAGGTTTTTAATTTTTATAAAATCTGAGCTGGCTGAGCTTCAGGGTACAACAGCTCAGGCAGGGAAGGGTGGGATTATCTGCTGGTCCCGCCTCCCCAGGTCGGGGAGAAGGTTGTTTCATGCCAACAGCTGCAACTCCTCTGGGCTCCCAGTCAATGCTCACTGCTCAAGCGGTGGGGGGGAGTAGGAGTAGGGGGGACCGCCTGAGGCTCAGACCCTGATTGCTTCTCCCTTTTCCCCATTCCCTTCCCTTCTGAGCAGAGCCTGGCTGGCCTGGGGGCAGAGCAGAGGCCCAGGAACAGTTGGAGGGGTGTGAATGGGACAGAGCACCAAGGGAAGGGGCCTTCCGGCCCCAAGGGGGAGAGGCCTAGCCCTCCCCCCAACAGCTCCCCACTGAGTTCACAGCACAGAAAACACCTCTAGTCCAACAACTCCACGTGGAGGTATATGGAGTCCGGGGTCCGAAGGGGCAGGCAGGTGAGAGATAGGCAGGGGTAGTGAAGATAACAGCAGGCTCAGGAGGGGAGGCAGCAGAAACTTCCTCCTACCCATGGGAGGAGACGATGGGGCGACTGATATTGCTGTTGGTGGTCATGGCATTCAGCTCCCACCTGGAAGGCCAAAAATGACAGGCAGAAAGGACAAGAGAAGGGGGAGGTCCCATCTCCAAGCCCGTAACTACTTTCTATAAACACAGCAGTCCCTTCACCTTGCTAAAGCTCAACCATCATAGCCACCTCCTCCTTACAGCCCTACTAGGTTTAACAATCAGACCCCACCCACCACAAAATCCAATGCCACCCATTTATTCCTCCACATCTAAGTCCATGTGGATTTCCTGTTTATTTCTATATACATTCTTGTGTCCAAGCACCTGGGGAAAAGCATATGAGTACACATATTAACAAACACCCTGACCTACCTTGCCTGCTTTCCTCAGGTTCAACCAGGCAGCCTCTCCACCTCACCCCAAGAATTTCCTTTTTTGCTCTCAACTCCCACCCTCTGAAGGCCCTGACTCAGATCTCCTACTTTTCCTGAGGCCTTCCCCACCCATCCCACCATATTCAAATTAATCCATCTCTGTTTGACAATTCTTTCATCCTGCAAAGATTTACCAAGTACCTCCTCATGCCAAGACCCTCCCCACAGTCTACCTGGTATTAGGTACCGGTACAAGTGTCAACTTGGGCAAGCGTAGGACCCAGACCCATGAGTCCAGCCTTGTACACTCCATGGCACCAAATACTGAACACACTGACCTTTACAGTAAGAGTTAAACTGAACTGGTACAAAGAGGAAAGTATAGCAGAATGATCCAAACAGACATAATTACACACCAAGTAACTTTTGGTGCTTGACTGGGACCTAAGAATAGAATTCAAAGGGAAGAAGAGATGGGCCACCCTTAATTTGGAACTAATTTGATCCAGAGGCTTCTGAACTTATCTTTACTTTGCAGCTAGGTTCTAAAATTTAATCAAATCTTCTCAGCATGTTAAGAAAATCAACTGCATAGGCACACGTTTCAGGAACTGAACTTGGTCTGAAAAACTGGATTAATTTTTTTTCATGTAATTTACCACCTGGCAGTTTCATTGTATGATGGTTGTAACTTCATCTCCTTCCAGCTTATTCCCCATAAGCATACTACACTTCCAGCAGAATGAAAACTGAGACCAAGCTAACCAGGTCATACCTGTGCTGCCCCACTTGCCTCCAACCAGTCCCTCCTTCCCAGTCACATGCTGTACCTGATGTCATGAGGCAAACAGGACTGGTCCAGGTTGTACTGAATCACAGCCAATTTGCACAGGGTCTTCAGACTAGGGCCTTTAAGGGAGGAGTGGGGAGTGGGAGATGGTCAAAGCCAGGAAGGGGCCCAGTCCTGGGTGTCACCACCCTAAGAGAGGGACCCCAATGGCAAGAGCACTTTGGGAATAACCATACTTACTAAAGTCCAAAATGTGTAAGTCAGAATGATCTATGAGGTCAAACTCATCTCCCAGGCCTTCCTCAGGAGACGGACTGTAGGGATAAAAAGAGAGCTGAAGGAAGAGGCCCTCTTGCTCAAATACCTCCCACTCTCATGTTAGTTGCAATATAGGCCCTTCCCTGAGCCCTTTCCTCTCTCCTCCTAACCTGGTACCCCCAAAGAGGACAATCTTGTCACCAACAATACAGCAGCACTGGCGCCGGCGGGGACATGGCCCCTTCCCCTTCGGTTCAATCTTCTTCCAGGTAAAGGACACTAAATAGAAGTTTATATGGAGAAGAGGATATTCAATACTTGCCCAGTCTAGGTATCTTCTCCACTCCTACCCCATCACCTCTCAGGATTATTACTTTCTTTCTCTCCCACCTCAACTGCTCCTTGTTCCTCCCCTAATGGCAGTAATCTTTACCGGGGTTAAACTTCCAGAGGTCATGGAAATGCCGGTTCAGCCTTGCATTATAGCCACCAAAAATATATAGCTCCCCATTGTAACCAACTGGAGGAGACAAAAAAAACAAGAGTATGAGGTTAATGGGTAGAAAGGGGAACTCAGCAGAGATATAACAAACACTCACAGGCTGAGTGGCTCCGGCGCCCCTCAGGCAGCACTGGGGTGGGTGGACAGTCCAACCAGGCCTCGGTTCTGGTGTCAAAGACGCGGATGCGGTTGCAGTAAATCTCATTGTTAGAATGGAACGGCCCAAAGCGGTCAGCGCGGCCCCCAAAGACATACATGTGACTGCCCAGCATGGTGGCTGAATGGAAGTCCCTCCAGCGCGCAGGGTTGCCCTGGACAGGAGCAGAGAGAGCAGGCGGGGAGGGGATGAGCAGGGAAGTTGGAAGGGGATCTGCTCAGTTTGAGCCTCCTATTATTTCTTCAATTGAGGGTAGGAATCTGGGGAAAAGTAGAAAGGACATACCTTTGTACAGATAAGCGTCCATGTCATGGTATTGGTGTCTAGCTTGTGAATGTCATTGGAAAAACAGTCCGCCTGTGTGGGGAAGAGGAAGGAGGAAAGTGAAAGAATAAAATAAGGGGCTGATGGTCACTCCCTGACCACCATCCCTCCCTCAGAACCCACAAACAAACCAAAGCCTCCCATTCCAACCACCCCCAGTTCCCCTTCCTCTTTCTTATTCCCACTCTAAACCTCTAGTTTCTTCCCAGACCTACCAGCTGCTCGTAGCCCCCAAAAATGTACATGGTCTTGCCCAGGACACAAGCCGAATGTCCATCCCGGGCCCCAGGAACTGTCCCTGACACTCGGGGTGTGGACCACTTATGAGTATCTGAGGAGACGAGAGGATGGCCCAGGTAAGCAATCTCTGACACTCCCTCCTCAATTATGGGTGCCCTATTCCCCAGCCCTCCCCACCCCAGCCTATACTTTTCCCAGCCCAAGGCACCATTTGGCAGAACACGGCCTCTTGAGACCCATACTCACTGACGTCAAAGGCATACAGCACATTGCAGGCCCCTTCGGTGTCATTCCTCCCACCCCAAAGGAAGACTGTGTCGTCGATGAGGACGGTTGAGTGTCCATACCGCATGTAGGGTACCACAGGAGCCTGTCCACGGGTGGCAGGCCTCACCGGGGGCAGCTTTGTCCACCGCAAGGATACTGTGGGCACAGCTCTGCTCAGCCCTGGGAACTTCCCTCCAGGCTGTGCACTTTTTCCCAAACCAGATATTCGTTCCTCCATCCCCCTGACCACAGGGACCACCACCGAACCTCATTCAGCCACCCACTCACTCCCTCCGTGATGCTGGCACCCAAGGATGGCCCTGGCACTGGCTTACCTGCGTTGAAAATGTGCACATCAATCTGACGCAGTGTCTCATAGTCTTCACCAGAGCAGTAACCCCCGAAGGAGTAGACCCGGTGCCCGACAGCCACTGCTGCGTGGTTCACCCTGCGGGGCCCGCCCTCCAGGTGCACTGTCCACCGTAACATCCCCTGGGCCACTGGTTACAGCAACATGCCCCCCCGGCACGGCCTGCTGCCTCTGCTACCTGTACACAAGTCAGGGTCACGGGCTCCTCAGGCAATGCCTCTGCCCGACTCACCGTGACTCTGCCCAGGACCAACCCCTGCCTCCAAGTGTCACCCTGGTGGCCCTCCCACACCACCGGTTTGCAGGGACACTAGTCACCACCCAGGTGGCTGGCCTTGCCCCAGGGGATTTGCTGAGGTCAGGGAGAAAGCCCTAGCCCTGTGTTCTCCAACAGCAAAGGGTGGGGCCACTCCGACCTGATTGTTTGCCAGCTCAGAATCGGCTGATCAAGGACTCAGCATGGTTGCCCCCTACCCAGAGGGCTTCACCCTGTTTCTGGCCTGGCAGGAGCTCCAAGCCCCCTTCCCAAGCCAGGCGTGTTCTTTTGTCTCTCTGGCTCTGCTCTGCTTACTGCCACCTCTCTAAGAATCTCTGTGCTCTTTAAGGTGGGGAGAGGGATCTCAAAATACTCAGAGCTATTAATAGCCCAGCCAACCCCAGACAGCACGAAAGCTGGCACGGGTGCTTCCAACCAGGAAAGCTTTTAGGCTTTTAGAGTGGAACAGTCTCCCTACCCAGGACAGGGTGGGATTGACCCAGGGCGGGGACCTCCATGTTACCGTGGTTGGTTAGCCCCTCACAGGGAGCTCTGGTCAAGCTGAGCTGTCGTCATCAGGGTCACCCAGGGCCCCCCACAGGAACGAGGAGTTCCTTTAACAGCGGTGCCTGGTATGCTGCCAAGAGTAGGAACTTAAGCCATAAAGGTATGTGTCTGCTGGGGATTATTAGCAGGGTGAAAAGGAGGGCTTCTCTCCTCCAGCCTTTTCCCCAGAACCTATTATTGCGATGGTAGAAAACAAGCTGTTTCCAGCAGCTCTTCTCCTACTTCTGCCCCTGAAAGGGGGATGGGGTGGACATGTGCACTGGAAAGGAGAAAGAAGCAAAAATGTCCCTGGATAAGACAAGAATGAGACCCTGCAGGAGAGGTCATGGTCTCTTAAAGACAACCTGCCAACGTAGCAATAATGGATACATTTGAGGGCTCTGTCAGGCAAATCCTTCTGCAACTTGGCATTGCCCTTGCTGGGAGGCACCTGCTGGGTTTGGGTGATCATCTGCTCCCTGTTCAAGAAGTCCTGGCAGCGGGAAGAGCCAGGCAGAACATCAGGCACAGAGAAAGCTCAAATAAGGGAGGCCCCTTGCAGGAAAGAGAGACTGCCTTCAGCTAGCTTGCCAGCCCCACTCACCCAACGTCCCCCAACCCCTCACCCCAAGCTTTAAATAGCCACTCAGCCCAACCTGAAATAGCCCCAGTAGAAAGCTACTCTCAATCACTCTCTCCCCTCAGTCCAAAATATCTTGGATCTACGCTCAAGGGAACAGGTAGGAAGTTGAAGGACTTAAGAATGGAAGAAATTCATCTTCCCTCATAGCTTCTACTCCCCACTGTGAAGTAAAGAATTTACAAGGGAAGAGATAAATAATCTCAGCCAGAAGTGGAGAAAGAATCTTAGCTTCTCCTCCATAAAGACAACTCAAGCTCACGAAAAACAAGTCCCTGGGTCTCAAGGGCTCCTCTCATCTCTGCTTCTCCCCAGTCCTCCATCACTGGCGCATTCTCAAGCTTCTTTAATTTCCTACATATACCTACCCCCCTCCCTGGTCTCCCCCAATTTTCACTCCCCATTTCTGGCCCTTCTTGATCTCCTGAGAGCTTTGCAGTTTTCCTATTTCCTCTTCTCTCACCACTCCAAACTCCACCCAACAGCCCTCCAGTTTTTCCCTCCTCCAATTAAAAAAGGAAAAAAAAAAAAAAGACATTCATTGGCCCCTTTAGGCCAGGTTTATTTCTCCCTGAATCTGAAGCTATGCCTGTCTTCCTTCTACCATCCCAGCCACCCCTCCCCCACAACGCCAGAGCCCCTTCTTCCATTATGCTCAGCTCCCCGGTTCTCCTCTTAACCTAGTCTTGCTTCCAATTCCCTTCAGTGCCTCCTCCAGTCACCATCCTCCCCAGCCCTTCTCCCTCATTAACACTCTCCTTTCCCATCATCCCCTCAGTTCCCTTCCCAACCCCCCCCCCATAACATTCAGGCCCCTCCCCCACCACTTCAGCTCCAGGCATGGGCGCCCTGCCCTCCCAATTCTTCCTCGCCCCTCAACCCATCCTGGGCTACCTGCCAGGCCGGGCCGGGGCGGGGCCGCGGGTCCTCGCGCTGCCTGCAGCCTAGAACCCGTTGCACGCCAACCGACGACTCGGTCCCCAACGAGATAAACACAGCCAGGATCTGTCCTTTCGGCGGGCAGCTGTCTACGCACGTGCAGTCGGAGCTAAATTCCCGAGGCTTCCTGGCACTTGTAGTCCATAAGTTCCCGGAGGAATGGGAGGGGCTGAAGAGTGAGCAGGAACTGGAGGAAAGATTCTGCGCATGTACAAATTTAAGTCAAGACCGTAGGGGTCACTGGGTAATGTAGTCCTTTGTTGTTTGGGCAGGGAATGACGGAGGCGGGGCAAAAGGCGAACTCTTGCCTAGCTTGCGTCAATCATGAGCACGGGGCGGGGCTGGAGGACCTGGCGTCCCAACACGTCCTGTGGGGCCGGAAGTGAAGGTGCGGGTTCCACCGCGGGCTCCGAGCGGGTGAGGCGCGAGGAGAGACCGTCGCTGAGAACCCGTGGGGTCGGGTGGGAGGCCCCGCTGCTGGGGCCATTTGAGGGGAGCCTCTAGGGGCTGAAGGGCGTCTGTCAGGCGGTATAGAGAGGAGGAGCCCGTAGGAGAGGGGAGAAGGGGGCTAGGACGCCCTTGTCTAGAGGAGTCGGACGACCCGGTGTTCTGGAAGGCGTGGCTTTAGGGAGGTGGTGGGATCTTGGGCTGGGGTGTTTATTTAGGAATTGCTGGAGCAAGGCCGGCTTAAGAGGTGGGGTTCAAGGAGAGCCTGGGGTCGGGGCGCGCAGAAGCTGAGCTGGAGGATTGGGAGCCGAAACCTTGGAGGCATTTAAACATTTAATGGACGCAGGCGGAGACTGCAAGGAGGTTGACAACAGGCTTAGTTCCAAGGTGGGCTTAGCTACAGTCGACTCCTGTTCTCCTGCGTTCCTGTTCTTGCAGCCCCTGCCCCGGATGGCAGCATTAGTTCTAGCGGGAGACATCATGGGCCCAGAGCGTATCTTCCCCAATCAGACTGAGGAACTGGGGCCGCACGTGGGGTCCGCAGAAGGCACTGGGGATTGGAGCAGTGAGGAGCACGAGGAAGAGCCGGAGGAAGCAGGGGCAGGCCCAGCTGGCTACTCCTACCAGCCCCTGAACCAAGATCCTGAACAGGAGGAAGTGGAGTTGGCACCTGTGGGCGATGGAGAAGATGTAATTGCTGACATCCAGGAGCGGATCCAGGTATGGTGGGAGAGAAAATGTACCTGAGCAGAAGTTGGGAGCCCTTGAAGGGCTGACTGGAACTGTGTTCTCTGGCTCTGCAGGCCCTGGGGCTGCATTTGCCAGACCCTCCATTAGAAAGTGAAGATGAAGAGGAGGAGGGTGCTACAGCATTGAGCAACCACAACTCTATTCCCATGGACCCAGGTAAAAGAGACCATTCTTTCATTCTGGAATAATTATGGAGGAAAGGGACTGGCCACAGCCACTAGGGGGAAGTCACAGAGGAAGGCCTTGTTTCTAAAAGGACAGTTTGTAATCTAAGATTTTGCAGACCTCAGAATGTAGGCAAAATGCTGTTTTTCTAGACTCGAGAGAAAAGCAGGTTTGCCTAGAAATAAGAGGAATTTGGTGGTCTCCCCAGCCCAAGGATTCTGGGCTGATTCCAGGAGTGGGGAGGAGAGCTGCTTCACTGTTTCTATCCTCTAACTGGCCTCTTGGCTGTTATTTCAGAACATGTAGAGCTGGTGAAAAGGACAATGGCTGGAATAAGCCTGCCTGCGCCAGGGGTTCCTGCCTGGGCTCGGGAGATCTCAGATGCTCAGTGGGAAGATGTGGTACAGAAGGCCCTTCAAGCCCGGCAGGCATCCCCAGCCTGGAAGTGACAATGCTGAGAGCTGCCTTATCTCACCCTGCATTCTAGGCCAGAAGCAGCACAGGACTGGACACATCCCTGGTTTTACCGTCCACCTCCATCTTCTCCATCTCTTTACATTAAGGCAAATCAGACTTCTCAGAGACCCACTTTATTCAGTTCTGTACATATGGGGACATCGGCCCAAGCCCCAACCCACCTTAGCATGTATCACTCTGTGGAGAATAAAGCACCCTATGTACACAGCCAAAAGGTGCACTGCCTGTGCCCTGGAACCTGGGTCCAGCCCTCCTCAGCCCCTTGCCCCACTAAGGTGCCTGAAAGGGGCAAGTGAGGGCCTGCCCAGCATCAGCACAAACAAGGAAATAAATAGGTATTGGAGGAGCCATGCTTAGGGCACTGCTCCCTGCTTCCTTCCAGCTTTTTCCAAGATCACCGGAAAGCAGTCAGCCCCAGGGTGGTCCCATCCATGTCTGTGATTCTGGGGCTGCTGCTCACCAGAGCAGCAAAGGGTAGGGTGTTTGTTCATTCCTACCCCCCTTGGTTCATCTGGGCCCCTACATTCATCACCTATTGTCAGCCTGTATTTTTCTATGACCTCCCCACAGCATTGTCTCCATCAGGCAGCGGGGAAGAGGAAATAATACATCCCAGTCAGCCTGCACACTGCTGGGGCTGGGGCTGGGGGCTTAGTTGTGCTGTTGGGGCTGGGCTTCCCTCCAGCAGCCAATGGGGCTTCACATAACTTTGGTGAGAATTTGCTGCTGCTCCCTACATGGTTCTGAAGGGGAAAAAGAGGACAGACACCTGGAGGTCAAATGAGGGTGAAGGGAAGAGGAGAGGGGCTGGGCATCCCCAGGTTGTCTGAGCATTGAGCATGTGAGAGCTCAGCCCATCTGCACTAGCCACAGGGAGGCATAAACACATTTTAGGGAGAAGAGGGACCACCCTGTGGGTGTCACTGCTTCAAGTGCCCACATCCCCCTCCCAAGAGTAGCTAGAGAGGCACTGCCTTGCCTCAAGTCAGCCAATGGGGAGCATAGGGTGGAGGGCCGGGGTGGCGTCCCAGGGCTGAGTGGGCTGTGGCCCTGTGGTGGGAAGGTGAGGGGGTCAGAGAGCCTCTTGGCTGGCAGTTAGGAACTCTTCCGCCCGCTTGTGCGCCTCCAGTGCCTTGATGGTGTACACATCCTGGGGCAGCTCTGACTTCCGCCGAAGCAGCACTTTTTCCTTCTTGATGTCTTTCAGCATCTGCGTGTGGATGGAAAGTGAGAAATTAGACCAACTGCCAACTAATTGTATTGTTTCCCCTTATTCTTTGGCTCTGCTGCTCCTGTCTACCCCCCTCCAGAGCGGTATTTCATTTCTGCCTCCCCGGCCCATGCCCTCCCACCTGCACAGCCTCTGTCTCCACCGTTCTCTTCAGAAGCTGGATGTCTTCTGCTGTGGGGGTCTCTGTTTCCATCGAGTACACCGGGGGCAGTGGTGGAGGAGCTCGGAACATGGGATACTGAGAGGAGAGAGAAGAGGCAGGGACAGGTGGGGAGAGTCCTTTCAGAGGTCTGTGTGACAGTTTACCTCATGTTCCTTCTCAAACCCTCACCCAGCCCAAGATGGGCCACTCAGTTCAAGGCTATGGCCAGGAAACGTCACCTGGGGATTAAGCCGGGCCAGCTCCTCAATCTTTTGCCACATCTCTTCTCTTTCCTTCATTCGGAACCGGCCCCTGAGGGAGCAGTACCAAGAGCAAAAGGTAGGGTTGGGTTGGGCTCGAGAGAAGCAAAGGGAGCTGGGTGTAGAAGATGAGTCTCCCAGGGAGAGATACTCACTTCTGCTTCTCTGCCTTGTATTGCTGTGTGCAGTCATCAAAAAGCTTCTGATTCATCTCCATAAACAGTTTAAGGGCATTGTAGATCAGTCCATGGATTGTCCTGTCACCAAAAAGAAAAAAGGTGAGGCACAGGTGGCCAGAGCCTGCCCTTGGAGCCACAACCCCAATTTGCTCTCTCCTAGGAGGTGTCTCTGCTGAAAGCTTTCTCATTTACTCCTCCCATCTCACTAACATCTGGACAGCATGAGCTCATCTTTGTAGCCAAATCAGTTAGCTTGTGACTTGAGATTGGCATTTCAGGGTCTGTACAAATATGGGTCCACCTGTCCATCCCCCAGCCTCCACCCACAATGTTCAAAAACCTCTGTCCTTCCCACCACTTCCCACTCTCTAACCCACTCTAAAGGGGTCCCAGAAGCACGATGGACTGCGTAAGCTTGCTTTTAGCAGGAAAACCTTTTTACAGCCCCAGGATACTTTACACATACTCTCCAAGGGGATCACATCAGCTTTCCACAGCATGGAGTTACATCTCCAAAGTTGTGATGTGGTCTATAGAATATCTGTCTCCCAAGAAGTTAGGTGACACAGGCCCTTATCTGCTGTTTGGTATCACAGAGACTTCTCACAAGGGCATCTTTTCTCTTCAGCAGTCCCTCAAGAGTCCTCTATCAGTATGCAGTGGCACCAGCCCCACTTGCTGAGTGGCCAGGTGAGACCCCTGGCTCTTTAGTTCTTCCACACCCTCAATGGTTCTGAAACCAGACCCCACCTCCCAGCTCCAGCCCAGCTCCCTACTTATTCCAGTGGCTCTTGGAGTTCCTGTAGAGTGCAGGGAACATGATGGGGAGAACCCGGGCAGCATTGTCACTTATTAGACTCATGATGTACTCATTGTTCCAGTAATAGAGGGCACGCTCTGCCACCTGGTGGGGAGAAGTGGGACTCAGTAGGGGTGTTGCTAACATCTGTGAAGACTTTGTTCTCAGTTTCTGGGAGCCAGGGGCTGGGATAAGCTGGGTCTGATTCTCACCTGGAAATGGGGGCTAGAGACACACTTGGCAAGCTGGCGGAAGAGTGGTTCCATCACTTTGCTGAACTCCGAAGGCTCGATGACGTCCAGAATCTCCTCCAGCTCATTCAGGAACATCACCTCCTTGGGGCTGTGGGTCTTGGGCCAGAACTTAAGAAGTCCCACAATCACCTATAAGGAGAAGAGGACGTGGGGATAAGACTCTCACTCAGCACCTGCTTCATTTTCCAGGAAGCTGTCCTGCCCTCTCCCTGGCCTTGGTGGGCACAGCTCAGGTGGCCTCAGCTAATAGCCCACGTTTCTCTGGTTTGGATCTGTTTCCTGTGTGTATATGGGTTCCACTTTTTCAGAAAGGAAAGCATGTCACCTGTCAGGCCACATCCCTCCTGAGCGCCCACTTACGGCATTGCTCAATAGGTACAGACTGGCAAGTGATGCTGATAACAGTAAGAGGTGGGCCCGGGGGCATGGAAGGGGAATTACCGGCTCCGTCAGACTGCTCTCCTTTTCCAGGAACTGCACCACGCAGTATGCCAACTGCAAAACGTTAAGGTAAAAAAAAGAGGTGAGCGCAGGTCCCAAAGGCCTCAGAGAAGTTCAGTCACAGAAACAAGATCCCAGAATGGAAGGGAAGGTGTAGGAAAGGAGTTACTCCACCCACTCCCTCTGCCACTCCATCTTTTCCTTTCTTTTTTCTCTGCTGCTTGAATCAGGCCATCATCAGGAGGAAGGCGGCTCACCTGAGGATGGTAGACACTCAGGGACTTGACTTTGTGAAGGGGAAGCAGGACGCGGATGAGGAACATCTTGTGCTCTTCTTTAAGGGGCAGGGCAAAGCCATTGATGATGCTGGGAGTTAAGGGAGGTTTGTTAGGACCAAAGGGCCAGGCTCAAGCTCCAGGCACCAATCCTCCCAATCTTTGTCAGGCACCTGTGCCCCTACTCCACCTCTCACCTGCCCAAGATCTCTAGGAGCTCGGCAATCCCATTGTGATGCTCTGTCTCATAGATGAACCTGAGAGGAGAGAAGGGCTCCTCTGATGTCCCTCCAGCACTCTGCTGGCTGCAGAGTACCCCCTCAGCTCCCTCCTCCCACTCAACCTGAGAGGGGCTTGCTTTGCTCCTAAGCCTGGGCTCCTGACCTCACCTGTAGAAGATGTGATTAATCTGCCTACGGATATAGGCCCGGAGCCCCAAAAATTTGCCATAGATGCGATGCAAGATGGTCTTGAGGAAGTCCCGCTCTCGAGGATCCTCACTGTCAAAGAGGTCCAGGAGCTGGGAGGGAGGGAGGGGAGGAAGCAAGTGAGGCAGGAGCCCAAGAAAGCTGGGGTTGGGGTGGAAGGGTCCTAGGCAGGGAAAACCCAGGAGTTCTCTGGGGAAGGGCTGTGGGCCAAGTCTCTGGAAGGCAGAGCGATTCTATCATACTATTCTACTCAAGGTTATGTCTAGGTGTACATGTTTACATGCCCATGTGAGAGGGAAGAGGTACTGTGTTGCTTTTTTGTTTCCTTCCCTATAATGTTCTTAAGGGCACAAAGTAGGTCTTTTTAACCCCCATAACCTCCCTGTAGCAGACAAAGCTGAAACCCTATATGCTCAGCATGAAGAGAAAGAGCAGCTGGCACGGGGGTGAGCAAGGCATGGGGCTAGAGTTCGTGAGATGGAAGGAGAGGGGACTGGCAGGAACTGGAAGAACTCACAGCAAGGACAAACTTCTGATCAATGTACTTCTTGGCTATATTTGGCTGGAAATCAGGAGACTCAAGGAAACGCAAGAAAAACTCATACACGAGCTGTGGGGGGGAAGGAACATCTGCTTAGGGGGAATCCCCAAGACTGGGAGACACCCCCTTGCCTCAGGTCTGAGTGTCGCCCTTCCCTGCAGCCAGGGCCAGCCTGCCCCCTGCCCCGGTACCTGGAGATGGGGCCAGGCCGCCTCCAGGGTGGGCTCATCCTCCTCTGGGTCAAACTCAGCCCCTGTGGGATTTGATGAAGGTGGCAGCGTCCGGAAGAGGTTCACTGAAAACTGAGGGATGGGGCCCATGTTAGAGCTCCATCCAGGCTTCTCCAGAGCCCCTCACCCCTGCCTCCTTTCCCCTTCCCACCATGGTGACAGCCTCAGGGTAAATGGCCTCGGTGACGACATCACGGCTGTGGGTGATATACTCCACCATCTCGTTGAGTCCTGCCCGCTTCACCTCCTTGAATTTGAGGTCACTGAGTGGGTCCGACACAAAGTCAAAGAGGACACAGCACTGGCGTAGCTTCTGGATAAACAGCTCCTCCCGCTCCTGGGTTGGCGAATCTGGAGGGAGTGGGGGTGGGTAACAGCCAGGTCTTCTGCCCCAGCCCTTCGCTACAATGCCTTTCTTGCCTTACAG